AAGGTAAGACCTGCGCTATCTCAAAGGAAGGCTACTAAGCAGCTTTAAGCTAGTAGTTCTGATCCTGTACCAACCAAAGCTAACCCACTAAGAAAGGCAGATCGGGATTATATCGTCAAAATGAATTCACATCCAACAATGAATCTAGACCATTCATTTGGTGAATTTCAAAATCTCATCCTTTACAAACTCAAAATAATTTTTTCCATTTTTAATATTGTTCATCTAATGATAATAAAGCCATATAAAAAATTTGGAAAATAAAAATACCTCTAAGGGCTAGATCTAAGCATCTTATCAAAATGGACGGCATATGTTAATTGAGCTAACAAAAGACTTTCTAAGTTAGGTTTTCAAATTTTTCTTCTTTGTGATTGTTTATTAGAATGAAAAGAGTGTGTATTTTAAATTTGGGATCAAACAAATGGCCCTAACATTGTTTTTGAAGAAGGTTGCATCATATTATGATACAACCGTTGCATGAAATCATTGCCCATATATATATATGGGGCACACATATGTCGAGCCAGCGGGACAAATTATATATTTGGTTTCACAGGCAAAATAACCAGTGAGGGGGACTTTTTTGTAACCTGAAATATTTCAGAAAAGATCCTTGATTCACCTTATAATCAATTTCACAAAACAAAAAATGATTTCGAGCTCCTAAAAATCCTAGATTTAAACAGACCATCAGATGAATGGTCAAGAATCAACCAGAAATTATTTGAAGCAAATTTTGAGCTCCAAATCAATACATTTTGTTAGATAGATCTTAGAGATGTATAAAGATGATGTGAAATGATTTCTCGCTCCCACAGGTGCATAGTGCCCATTTGTTCCCTCGATTAAAATTCATGCTAGGTGTACTTTTAGAACGCAAACTCCGGTAACCTCTTGCACTTAGTGATATATTAAAAAAATAAAAATCAAATCACACAATCTGTGTTTGAAAAAAATAATATCCCAAGACTGAACAAGGACCATCCAATTTATGGAAGGCAATAACTAAGTGTTCAAAGACCCAAATCCAATTTTTCTTTTTTGAAAGTAATCATCTAGTGATCCCTAGATGGATCCTGAAATTTCAAACCAAAAAACTTCTCAGCTCTTTTGCCCAAGGGAGTTAGTGTACAGTATGCTCCTTTGGGAGCATGCTATATGCGCTTCAACATGATTTGGAAGGTTTAGCGGCCCTTAAAATGTGTTTTACCTGCAGAACCAAGTGTACAATATGGTCCAGCATGACAACCAAAACTTTTTCCTATACGTACAGTACGTACATGTAATCACTGTTATGTAGCATATAAAGAGTATATACAACAAGGGTGCGGTTTGTATAGAGCCGAGGCTCTAAACAATCAAAGTAAAGCACACCTTCAAATAATGTTGAAAAATGTGGTTTCAATACTGGAAATATTTGTGATAGCCTTAAAATATGTTTTAATCTTTAAGTATAAAATTTAAAGCTTCAAAAATAGCGTAGATCAAGCAAACCTATGAAAACTTAAAAATCTTGAAAATTGACAGTCCAAAAATGCGTTACAAGATGCACTATTTCCAAAACTTGAAATCCATTTTTTTCTCATGTCCATGCATCTTGATTTCGAAATGATCAATTTGAGAATATATGGGCATCAAAACAACCTCTTCTAGTGAAATTCTTTAGGTGGGCTCTAATTTGATTGTTTAGAGCCTCGGCCCTCAATATAAACTTTTTCCATACAACAATGCATGTATTCTTTTATAGAATACAACACAAACAACAAAAAAAGTAGTTAATTCAAATTTTTTTTTCAGGTGACAGTATACATTTACAGTGTAATGTGCATAGTAAATTCAGTAAGTATTTGCTGCAATATATAAGCAGAAATTATGTATATATAATCTAGAAAGAGAACTTGGTTAAAAGGATCTTTATACATTTTTAATACTTTAACATTTTTGTGCACCAAATCCCTCTACCAATCATATAGAAGTGGAAGAACCCATCAAGTGAAGCACACAGCCTTGAGATATCATGCCAAGGTTTTGTTGCCTTAACATTTATGAGGACATTTTTTAAATCTCAGGATAAGATAAGGGATGCTAGCACACTCCCTAGTGACTGCAGAAAAATTGTTGATAAAAGAAGGCGACGAAAATAAATGCCTGTACATAGTCAAGTGGTTGGCTTTTTTTAATCATCTCCTCCCTTTACCAACAACATTTTTGCACTTAACAAAGAACTAAGATAATAATAACAATAATCTGGTATGGGGGATGAAAATAGGGATTGGATCTAGGGTCTCAAATGTCTCTAACCTTGTTCTAATAATATCTGAAAATCACGATCCTAATAGAATGATGTTTCATTTTTTTTTACCATGGAATTATCGTTCATCACTTTACCCACATTTACTTTATCGACTTACAACTTGTCAAAGTCACTGATTAAAACTAACTAATCTTGAGAAAACTTAATACAGAAAGGAAAATTAGAAAATAAAACTAGTGACCAAAGTACCTCAATACTCTAGAGCACCACTATTAAGAAAATGATGAATAATAGGTACAATATTAACAGCCGTGTTACGTCATTGAAGAGATTATCGAAATAAAAGCAGAGGCAATTTTAACCTAATGTCCTTGGACCCACTAGTGCAGAGGCCGATCTCCTCCTTAAAAGGAGAAAGCGGGTAGATTCTCTCATTTGGTGACAACTTTTTAATATTTTCCATCTATACATGATTTTTCTTCTACAACTTCAATGCAATTTAATTTTTACTTCTTCCATGTTGTGTTAATCATGTTTATTTCTTCCATGATGCGCTACATGTTATATATTGCAAATGAATTTTTTTACTTGACTCACCATGTAATTTATGTCACTACAGCATCTTTTGTTCTAGTTCATAGTATAATAGCTCTATTTTAATAATATTTGTCTGATTAAATTTCACTTATGTATCTTTTATGCTAATACATAGTATAGTAGCTTTATTTTAATAATATTTGTCTGCTTACATTTTACTTCTAAATGCTAGGAATACAGTTATTGATATCCCGTTAAGAATTTCACTTAATTATTGATTACAAACTTAATTGGAAATAAGCAAAACAAAATAGGTCCACATATTCATAATATATAACTGAATATTAATGTTTAATTTTGAATTTACAATATACATGCTTCTTTTTGTGCTGGGTAAAAAGGGTAGGTCAACTTGGTTTGTTTTTTTGTTAACAAACTTCATAGTGTGGAACACTTGACCACCGGTTCACGAAACCGGTATGTCTACCACTATAAGTAAAACCCTAGGGGGGAAAACATACATTGTTATGTTATATGATGCAATCAAGGAATCATCATGATAGTCAAACATTTTCCCAACTAAGTGGGTTCGGCTACACGAATCATGATCCGCCATTCTGCTTTATTTAGGGTCATACCCTCAGTGAGGCCATAAGTCCCCGTATCTTTTTTAACAACTTCCAACCATATTCTTTTGAGTCTATCCCTTGCCCTTTTTGAGCCTTCCACTTGAAACTAACTCGCACTTCCTAACAAGTGTTGTACTGGGTCTGCGTCACACATGGCCAACCCACCTAAGTCTACTTTCTTTCATCTTATCGCCTATTGGTGCCATACCTAAATTTTTCCGAATATATTCAGTTCGAATTCTATCTCTTTTTTGTCTTGTCACCCATCCATCTCAACATCCTCATCTCCGCTACAATCATTCTATGGGTATATTGTTTTTTGACCGCCCAACATTCCACCCCATAGAGTAAAGCTGGTCTCACAGTTGTCCTATAGAACTTGCCATTCAGCTTCATTGGTATGCGTATATTATTTTTTAATCACCCAACATTCCGCCCTCATAAAATAAAGCTAGTCTCACAGCTATCCTATAGATGCAATTAAGGAATAATTTCTATTAATACTTGTGCCGAATATTATCTCAAATTTTGATGCAAGTCTACAAGCTATGTTACATGGATTCTTCTGTTTGGGTACCGCACCCATGTCATACAAGTATCGACACACATATCAACACAGATTCTTCTGGATTCTTCTTGTTTATGAACCGTTCATTACATCATTTTAGAAAACTTGGTCTTCTTTCTTTGTTTTGAGTAGACACGTGAACTTTGAGAATGTCTATCGAAATTTGAGAGCATCTAAGGATTCAACCAATTAAAGTATAACTGATTATTTCTTGCTATTCATCATTAATTGTATAGTAGTAAAGCATTATTAAATTTGGTTCTCTTCATCGTACAGCGATGTCGCAAAATCCTCTTCTTCACTGCACAAGGAATCCAACACTCAGTGCCAACGTCAAACCCTGACATACATACCTGTGTCCATGCAAGTATGCAACATATCTATTATTGCATTATTAAGCGAAGGTTAAGGGGTGGACATGTGTCAAAAAATTAGAAAAGGACTTTATGCCTAGAGACAACTCCATCCAAAATCAACTTTTACTGTTGGACAAGATTCCTTTTCACAGTTCCTTTTATGTTTAGATGTTAAAGGAAGTTTAAAGTACTACTCAAAATTTGGGGGCTTGTTTAAAGAAAATTTAAAAAATCACCTCTTATTCCCCTTCCTCAAAATCAGGAGCGAGACCTAGAGAAACACGCAGATGGCACGCAAGCACACACAACAGAGATAGAGAGAGAGAGAGAGAGAGATGTAACATACAAATAAAAAAGATTAATACAGATGCTTAAAGCTCCCATTACATAAGTCCATGGGGAAACAAATATCACATATCATATCAAAGTTTCCACACAAAATCAACTAAATGCTACTTCTTTTTCAGGGTAAACAGACCAGCTTAAAAAGGAATAAGACACAGGACATGATCCATCCAAAATTCACCACATTTTCTTTGAATTCAAATGAATCAGTTCAGTAAAAAATCCATGGTTAATTCAGCTTAATACTAGAAAATGTAAGAAGAGAGAGAAATAAAAGGTATTAAGAGAGAGAGAACCAGGGCCATTACCTGATAAGGATATTCTTCTACACAAGAAGCATTCTGAATGTTGAGAAATAATGCCTCTCGAGCCCTCAAGTTTTGAGCCAATAATTCTCCATACCATCCTTGTTTTTGATCCGATGAAGGGTCACAGGGATTCTCTGCAACTTTTCTCAGCCAATGAATTAAATTCAAAGTCGATTCTTGGTTTCTCTCACTAGAAAACGGGTTTGGAGAATCAGAACTCAATTGTGCTTCTCGCTTTCTCCCACTTGAACGAGTTTTCATCAACGACTCACAGTTTATCTCACTAGAACAGGGGTTCGATAAATAGTTATCCAATGGTGATTCAAGCTTTCTCTCACTAGAGAATGGGTTAAGAGCACCAGCGTTTGATGAAGACCCATGTTTTGTCTCGCTAGAAAATGGAAATGGGTTCCCAATATCAGGGGTCAAATGCCCTAAAACACCTGATTCTATCTCATATATAGTGTTAACATATCCATTCTGAGATGGAAAGCTCTCATTTCCATGAAAACCAGAGATTGGGGGTCTCTGTCTCTCTGAGCATGAATGCAAAATGTGGTTAAATAAACCAGTGAAGTTAATTCTTGTCTCTGGGTTTTCTCTGTGTTCCTGAATAGGCCCACGAAAACGCTTCCCTGAAACAGGAACCGCACCATGGTCCCAAATGGACCAACCAGCCATTTATAAACCAACCGGATTTTCTCTCTCTACAAGAAAGGGAGAGAGAAACTCTAACAGACGAGTCTTTCTCTCTCTAAAACTAGAGAAAGAGACAGCAGCTGCCGGAACTCGAACCAGAGTAACCACCAATAACAGTTTCCCGGAATAAGGGGAGATTTGATTTTCCCACCCTAAAAAATGAAGGTTTCTCTCTCTAAAAGGGAGAAGAGGGAGGGAGAGAGAGCATTTGCGAGTGGCAGTTACGGTTGGGTTCGCGCGCTTGCTTCTCTCTCTAGCTGCAAAGAAGAGAGAGAAAGAGAGGTTAGTGGGCGCACAAAGACGGCGCATACATAAGATTAGAAATCCCGTACTTTCATGCGCATGCCCCACTGATAAGGATAGAGAGAGAATCCCTATTTCGTAGAGAGAGAAAGTGTGAGGGGGGAGACGTTCGAGTGAGGGCGGGAATGGGGAAATTTTAGAGAGAGAGTTTTTGGACTGAGCATTGGAAATTTTTTATGCGAGGGGCATCAGGGTGAGGGGAAGAGAGATAGAGAGAGAGGGGTAACTGTTCATTGGAAGGCTAGAGAGAGAAAGTGTGTGGATGATTAGAGGGAAGAGAGAGAGTGAACGGTTAGAGAGAGAAAGTTTGTGGATGATTAGAGGGAAGAGAGAGAGTGAAAGGTTAGAGAGAGAAAGTGTGGGTTTGAAAACAGGGCAGAAGGAATTGAGATGCCCTCCTGGAGAGGATTTCGAGGAGGAAATTGTTTTTAGAGAGAGAAACTAGAAATGCCCTCGAGAGTGTTTTGAAGAGGAAATTGTTCTTAGAGAGAGAGAGAGACTAGAAATACCCTCACGAGGTTTAGAGGAGGAAATTTATTTTTAGAGAGAAAAGGTGGATTGTTCTTTAGAGAGAGAGGGGCTAGAAATGCCGTCGAGAGGGTTTTGAGGAGGAAATTGTTCTTAGAGAGAGACTAGAAATGCCCTCGAGAGGGTTTTTGAGGGAATTGTTTTAGAGAGAGAGAGGACCTCTGATCGCGATTTGGGTTAAGGGCAGATTTGCATTAGAGAAGGTTTTGTGGAGGCATTTGTGTGTGAGGAGAGAGAGAGAGAGATCATGATTTTGGCATAAAAATACCTTAGATAGGGTTGAGAGAGAGAATTTGGGGGCAAAAATGCCGTAGAGAGGGTAGGAAGGGTTAGAGAGAGTGGGAGAGTTTGGGGCAAAAATACCTTAGAGAGGGTTGCAGAAGCAATGCTGCCGTATTTTATTCGGAGTCTTATTTGGTTAGGCGTGAAAAAATAAAGCAATTTGGTACTTCAATTTATTTAGGGGAAGATTTCAGATTTTTTTATAAAATTTGATAAAACAAATTTAGATATTATATATAAAAGAGTAATAATCCGATAGGATCCTCCCCCACCATGTTTGTAGGAAGTTAGAATGAATGAATATTTAGTTCGTGATCGTTTGACGTCCTACTTATACGAGGGAGGAATCCTGAGATCATTTCTCTATATAAAAACGTATAATCAAAATTAAAAATAAATTTGAAAATATTTTTATATAGATATTGTTTTGCTGAATCGGCCGAATCGGTCTGAAATTGATGGAATAAGACCGAAGCAGCACACTTCTAGGAATTTCCGTAGTTTTTTAGTAGAGGAATTAGGGCCACAAATGCCCTAGAGAGTATGTGTGTGGTTTTGAGAGAGAATTTATCTTTGCCTTTGCCGAAAGAGAGTGTGATTGTGGTTTTGAGAAAGAGAATTTATGTTTGTTGAGGCTCTCTAATTTAGACACCGACCCCAATTAGTTGAAAAAAAGTTTCGACGATGATAATAACGGTAACGAGACTCTAATCTTGAGAGAGACATCACTAATATTGAGTGGAGGAATAAGGGGTAAATTTGCCCTAGACAGGTTTTGTAAACAAATTCTTATGAGAGAGAGAATTTTGAAAGATTAATGATCCAATCTCTACGGAGAATAAAACAATGGGGAGTGTTTTGTAGAGAGAGATTTGTCGTGTAAAATTTTAGAGAGAGAAAGAAGAGAGAGTAGCTTTTGTAGCTTTTCACAAACACCCACACCAACAAGAGAGAGAGAGAGAGCACCTGGAATTTTTTTTTGTAGCTTGCTGTACTTTGTAACAGCCTCTGCCAAAATCCGAAATCGAAACTTAGAGAGAGAGAGAGATTTAGAGAGAGAGCCCAAGGGTTCACCCAACCCAAGCACGAAGGTCTGTGCACATGTGTGGGTCTTAGAGCCAAGGGTTTAGAGAGAGAGAGACCTTGGGTTAGAGAGAGAGAGAGATAGGTTGGGAGGATTGTGGGTTAGAGAGAGAGAGGGGAATATGAGTATTATGGTTAGTGGGGCGTAGGATGATTTTTGTAGAGGCAAGGAACAACAAATCATGGTTTATTTTTAACCCTGGTTTGCGTTGGAGGTCAGGATTTTAGTTGGGAGTTTTCTTGGTATGTGTGGGGCTAGAGAGAGAGAGGAAGAGATTTTCTAGAGAGAGAGAGGGTAGAAGATGGGAGTTGGAGCGTTTAGAATCAAAGGCAATAGGGGTTTAGACTCTTCATTTATTGGCTTGTAGAGAGCGAATCCAAGGGTTTGGAGAGAGAGAGGGACCTGGCTTCTTAGCAAAATGGTGAAACTTGTGTGAGTTTTTGGGAAATTTTCTATAGAAATTCGGAAGAAAAAACAAATATAACAATTAGTACTTAGTGCTTGGCAGCTCGGCCATGCCAAGGACTCAACCCTTGGCCGGGTCGAGTTATTAAAGTTCAGTAAATCGGATGAAAAAAAAAAAATGAAGAAATAACAAAAGGAGAGAGAGAGGGGGATGAGATTTTTTTTATAGAGCTTTTTCGTCTGAGAAAAAGAGCTGGGGCTTAATTGGTTAGCCCTAAATGATTTTTCGTCCGAAACAAAGAGCCCGGTCTTAATTGGTTAGCCCTAAATGATTTGCAACACTGTCATATGCTCAATTCTACGAAGGGTAAGGATCCTCTCCCCTGTTCTGATTCACCCAAAAAGAGAGAGCTCCTTTAGCAAAAGAAGAAGATGCAAGAGGAAGATAGGGAGATGCAAGAGGAAGAGAGAGATTTATAGGTCGACTTTGTTCTCACCAAAATTTCAGAACCCCTCTCCTTTTCTCTCTTAACTCTCTCTCTTTAAAATTCCAGCTACGAAATATAATATAGTCATGGATTTGTGTTATTTTTTTAGGTTTTTAAACATTTTTGTTTTAAATTTCTCGTGGGAGATATTGGTTGGGAGCTAATTAGTCACCCAACTCGCCTAGCCTTGGGGATGGACACATGATAAGAGAAGAGAGAGAGAGATCTACAGAGAGAGAGTGATATAGAGAAGGGAGGGATATCTAGAGAGAGAGTGGGGGAGAGAGTAGATTTATGGAGAGAGAGATCTAGAGAGAGAGAGTGATATAGAGAAGGGAGGGATATCTAGAGAGAGAGAGTGGGGGAGAGAGTAGATTTATGGATTAGATGTGGGGATGGACACATGGTAGACATATTGGCACCAAAGAGTACCATCCATGAGAGAGAGAGAGAGAGAGAGAGAGATTTCCATCTTTTGATGGGTACACTCTTTACTTTAATCCATGCAGTAAAAAACCTATAGCAGTTTAGGGCTTAAATATTCATATTATCACCAACACAGGCAAAGAGAGAGAGGAAGAGAGAGAGAGGAAGAGAGAGAGGGGAAGAGAGAAGAGAGAGAATGAGCTGAGAGAGAGAGGAAGAGAGAGAATGAGCTGAGAGATAGAGAGAGAGTGCGCTAAAAAGTAAGCCAAAAAATGTCTTACCTGAGTCGGCCCTCTCTTGAGTCCTTGCCCCTCTCTCTCTATGTGCTATCATGGGGTCTGGTATCTGCACATAAAAATGAAAATGAGTAACAACAAGGTGTCATGTGTTTTTTATTAGGGTTTTCAATTGGAATACATACTAAGAAAAGGGTGGTGCCTCTTAGCAAAACCTTGGCCCTTAGATAACTTAAAAAACATCTTTATCCTATGGCACCCAAAAAATAAAAAATAAATAAATTATTTTAGGTTTTAAAATACGGTGATGTTCTAGTAGGCCGCGGCTCCATAGTAATTGGTAAAGTCGCACCTCAAAAAGCCTACCGGAAATGCAGTTTGGGTGCCGAAAACCCTTGTGATGACCTGCAAACTGATCTATGTTTCCAACGATAGGTTTTGAAGCTCTAAAGATAGTAAAGATATGGCAGATCTGTGAATACTTGAAATGGGTAGTAGTCTACAAATGAGTTATATCGTTTTAGTGTTTTATTTTTTATATCCATAATTATCGAGGTAGAGATAATTGATTTGCAAGTTTTTTTAAATGTTGAAATAACGTTTTTCTGGCTGTTGGGTCTGTACATACAAAATACCTTCCCTTTATGTTTTGAAAGATGGAGTTAGAATGCCTTTATATGTAAAAATTAAAACTGTTATATCGCCAACAGGCCCAATCCGTTATGATATATAAAGGTATCTTAGAAGGGTAAAAGGGATTCCTCAAGGGGAAAACGGTCTTCTTTTTCTCTTAATATAACGGTCTCACCATACATAACGCTACTTTATGGGAGATATGAGTTGAGAGGGATTTTAACACAATAGGAAAAAATAGTATGTAAAATTTAAAAATAGAGATTTAGATAAGCATGGTATAAGAGGACATTTACTGCACAATGTGCATATCTAGCAGGTGTCAAATTATTTCAGTCGACGAATCAAATGACGACGCGTAGGATGTTAGAGTAAACGGGTCAGGTCTGGGTTAGGGTCCAAAAGAAACATGCATTTAGATTTTGTGAGCTGCTTGTCAAACACCCCCAAATTGTGACTATTGGATGGTCCACATTCACTGATAGAGAGGCATTCTCATCATTTTTTTTCTTGTGTGTGAGATTTTTCATTAAATTTTTTTTTATGTGCTTATATTTAGTGCACCTCTCTCCAAACTTTTAGCTCAAAATGAATTGTAAAAAAATAGAAGTATAGATGTGAAGACACCCCATTTTTAGAATTGGCATTTTCCTGGAATTTTTAATCTCAAAGCATAAAAAATGACCCCCTTGAATGCATAATAGGATCTTTAGACAAGTCTTTGAAGCCCTAAGGACCACATCAGCCAAGTACACCATAGGATACATTAAATTATAGTGAAATGGAATGATAACTGCCCCTCCCTCATCTGCCCACTACTCTCTTAAAAGGATTCAAGGTCTAGACGTCATATTTATTGTTTTTCATATCTACATAAACTTTGACTTGCTCCATTATGACATGAATATTTTATTTGGGCCCTTTAAGGAAGATTGCTAGGAGCTGGATGTTTTGTTTCATTTGCCATTTGTGGCAGATTGATTGTGAATTGAGTATCTAGATAAAGTACTATATAACCACCATGAGTAATGTAAGAGTGGCAACGGGCTGGGCCTAGGTCGGGCCCACTTTAGTCGAGTCAAGAATAAATGAAAAAAATATAGAAGAAAACAAAACAAGAGTTGGGTTGGGGCGCTCTGCACTGGTGTTGGTCCTAACCCGGCCCTCAGGCTGTAGCTTCTAACCCATGCCCTACTTTTTCAGGGGCCGGCCAACAGGCCCATTGCCAACCCTAGATACCAGTGAGTGTTGGGATGTCTAACTGTGAAGAAGTGCGTATTTGTTTGGATCGTCGTAAGTTTTGCTTACAATAGTGTTACAACAAATTCCAAGATATTTCACATTCTCACATTTGGAAGTTCATTTTTAGGCTTTTAGATTGTCTACTGTAATAATTAGAGCCTTTTGATTTTGATGAAATGTTCAAATTCAATGCTCACACGTGTCAGAATATGGAAGCAATTCCAATATCATATGCTATGCAAGTAAATATTGATCTCTTTTTTATTTTATTTTGGGGTAATTCAGTAGGGAAGACAAGCCCTACCTATTTTTTTCAAAGAATTACATGTTAAAGGTGTCTGCGGTAAGAATGGATACCACGATGTGACAAATAGATGTGGGGATGTTACCACCATGACCCCAGCCCCTTTCCAAGTCAATATTGAACCCACTGCATCCATATTGCATGACTATATCCAAAGGCGGTAGTCCAAAGCTCCCAAGAGGAACTTGATTTTCAGAAGGAAGTGATTAGAAGCGTTAAGAGAGGGCTAAGAAATGCAAGATCAAATGAAGATATTGAAGATGAGGATGTCGAAAAAATTGAAAATGAGGAGCTTAATTCTCAAAGTAGGGTAAAGCATGATTATGCAGTGCTGCTCAAGGAGACCATTAGGGATGCCGATCTCGTTAGGGATGTATTTCTTTTTGTGTTGTTTATGTAATGTGACTCCTACTTGTCTCTCTCTCTCTCTCTCTCTTTTGTATTTCCTTTCAAGTTTAATAGTTCATAGAGTAACTTTTGCATTCTTATGAGCAAAAAGAAGCCAAATTGGAATACAAATTTACAATCCAACCCATTTGTATTTTTAATGAATTATTGATGAATCATACAGTAGACAACTAAAACATGCAGTTTTCTCTTACCAAGTTATCAAACTGATTATTCTAGTTTTCCAGATTGGTTATCAAATAGGGTAAACTACTTGCACCTATTTTCCATATATTTCCAGAATCCCAAAGATTGTTAGGTATTCCTGGTGAATCTGTAAAAAAGTTATCAAACAGGGTAGGGTTTTTTGATGCCGGAATAATTTTTTTGGGAGGATATTTTATGTGTATAAAGTTGATACCGAATATAAACTTTTTCATTAATTAAAGAGTTTACTTTATTCGCCAAGTTAATAAAAAGGTTTACCATTATTAAGCTTTGGTAGGAAAATGGCTAAGAGAAAAAGAGACAAAACTAAAATACATCAAAAACTAGGTGGACAACATTAACAATACTTGTGTCATGAGAATAAAGGGGTTAGTTTTTATTTAATAAATAGAATGGTAGCTTATAGTTTATCCTAAAGTCTTTTTATTTTTAAGGTAACTGTCCTATATTCTTTCCAAGGACGGGGTCTGATTTTAATTTTGTGACACATATCTACCCCTTAACTGCACTTTAGTAGTATAGATATATTTTAAAGATAAGCTTGAAATACCTTCCATCGATGTGGGAATAAAAGGGAGTCCTATTGACATGGGAAAAAGAGTAGACGAAAGAGAGAAAAAAAAAATTAAGATCTAGTGGAGATAAAAAAGAGATCAAATTGTATACAAAGCTTTTGGGAAAAGAATCAGAGGAGAGAGCATTTTGGAGAAAAGAATTAGAGTAGCTCCAGGTCCTTCCCTACCAACATAACATCAACATACAAAGACAGCATTTTGATGCTTTTCTTGTAAATCTTAAGGGTGTGGTTTGCATAGGGTTAACACCTCAAAAAATCATAATAAGATGCACCTTTAAATAGTGTTGAAATTTGTTTTTCGATATTGAAAATTTTTGTGACAGTTTGAAACTTTATTCTCATACATAATTGCAAAATTTAAAGCTTAAAAAATAGTTTAGATCGAGAAGATCTATGAACACTTTAAAAAATCTTGCAAATTGACAGTCAATAAATACATAACAAGGTGGACTATTTCCAAGACTTGAAATCCATTGTTTCTCATGTGCATACATCTTCAGGTCGAGATGCTCTATTTGAAGATTTTTGGGCATTGAAAAGACCTTTTCTAGTGGATTTTTGACGTGCACTTTAATTTAGTTGTTTATGGCCTCGCCCTTATATAATTTTTTTCCAAATCTGGCTTTGTGGATTTGGATATACTACAAAACTTCGTAGCTTCTTGAGACCTCTTGAACCTTCAAACTTCAAGGTCAAAGGCTAAGGACTGCAAAACCTTTTGGTTAATTGATCTCCTCTAACAAGCCGCCATTCAAATTTTTCAAGAGTATGTGAGTTTGTTATCTCTCCTTCAAGAAGTCTATATTCCACAGCATGCATCACATGTAGTCATTTGGGAGATTGATCCACATGGGCGGTACTTGGTGAAGTATATGTATAACTATTGTTCCATGACCGTTGAAGATGGTCCATGCCTGAAATTGCCCACCATTTGGAAATGGCCTTTACCTTTGAAGGTTCAAGCCTTTCTATGGCAGGTGGTACAAGATAAGGTACTCACTATTGCCAATCTCATTAAAAGATGTAAGATTCTGCCTAATATTTATTTGTTGTGTAAGGACGATGCTAAAACAGGTCATCATCTATTTCTTCATTGTTCTTTCACCAACAAAATTTGGCGGCGGCTTATAAACTTGGGTTTGCTATGATGATGCCTGCGAAGGTGAAGGGGGTAATCTCAAATTTGTCGGTCAATATGCTTCCCAAAATTGGGGCAGTTATTTGGCAGAATGTGAGAGGTATGATTCTATGGGAAGTCTGGAAGGAAAGCAATCGGCAGGTGTTTGATGGAGAGAGTTTTGAAAAAAAAATAATTAGAGCGAGAAATAAGAGATAAAAAATAATTAGAGAAAGAAATAAGAGATAAATATTAAAAAATAATTGGAGAGATGATGAATAGATAAACATAAAAATAATTAGAGATGAAAAAGATACACAAAATGAGAAAAAGGGTTTACGGCATTCATATAACATGGGGTTAGTGTTTACGGTACTTAAAATGGCGTACAAGGGTCAGTGTAAGTTTATTAAATACCATATAAAATTCCCTAAGCATGACGGTACTTAAAGTACGTATAACATGCACTAACTATTATAGTAATACGACTATTGTGAAGGTCATTTTGGTTAAAAAAAATGAAAATTAGGAAAAATGGTGTAGATGAGACAAACAAAACTTTGAGGTTTTTTTTTTCCAATTAAGCTTAAATTAAAGTATATTTGCTATAATTTCATTTTGGTAAAAAAAAAAAACCGAAATTGAGGAAAAAGGGTCCAGACGACATAAACAAAAGTTTTAGGTTTTTTCCAACAAGCTTAAATTAAGGTATATTTTCATAAATATACCTTAATTTAAGCGTAATTGGAAAGAAAATATACCTTAATTTAAGCTTAATTGGAAAGAAAATATACCTTAATTTAAGCTTAATTGGAAAAAAAAAACTCCAAACTTTCGTTTATCTCGTCTACACCATTTGTTCTCATTTTTCGTTTTTTATAGACCAAAATGACCTTCACGGTAGTGTAATACATATCATTTTATATACCGTGAAGCTAATTACAGTACTTTAAGTATCGTAAAAACTAAAATCCATTATATGACATTTTAAATATAGTAAAAACTAATCCATCTTATGCAGCACTTCAAATGCCGTAAATCATTTTTTCATTTTGTTTTTATTTATCTCTTTCATCTTTAATTATTTTTATGTTCATCTCTTTTTTCTCTCTCTAAATTTTTTTAATATTTATCTTTTATTTCTCTCTCTACAATCTCATCATCCTTTCGTTAGACATATCATATCCTCTGTTTTGCATAGCCAGTGTTTGATTACTCTCTCGAAGGAAACGATGATGAGATTAGAGAGAAAGAAGAGATAAAAATTAATTAGAGAGAGAAAGAAGAGATAAAAAATAATTAGAGAGAAAAAAAAGAGATAAATATTAAAAAGAATTAAAGAGAGAAGTAATAGTTAAACATAAAAAAAATTATAGATGAAAAAGATAAATAGAATGTTCAAAGAGAGATGAAAAAGATAAACAGAATGAGAAAAGGGTTTACGGCATTAGTATAACACAGTTAATGTTTACGGTACTTAAAATGAAATACAAAGAAGTGTAAGTTTATGGTACTTAAAATATACCATATAAAATTCCTTAAGTATTTTAAGTACCGTATAACATGCATTAATTATTATGATAATATGATTACCGTGAAGGTCATTTTGGTAAAAAAAAAAAATGGAAATGAGAAAAAAAAGGTGCAAACGAGATAAACAAAAGTTTTGTTTTTTTTTCAATTAAGCTTAAATCAAAGTATATTTACAATAATTTCCCTAAAGTGTTGTTAATATTATCTTAGAATCTATTTTCATATTTAATTATAAAATTTAAAAATTTAAAATTGGTTAAAATTAAGTAGATCTATAAACTTATAAAAATCTTGAAAATGAACAGTGATACTAAGTTGTAAAATACATTATTTTTTAGACTTAAAATCTTTTTATTTTTCATGATCATAGATGTCGATGGCGAGACGGAGTTTTTCAACATTAAAACATCCGTAGCAATTCATTATAAGGTTGCAAACTTATACAAACCTTTCACCCTTAATGTTTCTTTTCTAGAATGTTGATATTTCTCCTCATCTTTGGCCCGTTCTCTTCTCCTTTGTTGAATAAAAACTGGGGATCTGTCTCCGCCGGGAAACCTCCATCTCTCGCCGGGAAATTGTTGTTTCTCGGGAAACCTTTTATTCGTACCGGGAAGCTATTCATCAATACGAATCCGGCCAACCCATTTAGAATGGAAGAATGATTAGGCACTACGTTAATGCCCTAATGGCAAATCAGTAGCCGCCAAATCCACGGGAAAAGCTCCAGAATTTCGCCGGAAAATTGTCGTATTCACCGGAAAGCCACTTAACAGCGGAAGTTTGGAGTACCCATTCGCCAGAAAAGGACGACTTTGCTCCTGCGTTCCAAGGTACCAGAAAATTTTGCCATTGATGCCGGAAACTGCTTTTTTTTGTCGGAAAACAGATTATGTTCACCGGGAAGGGTTTTAGGAATATTTTTCGGGCAACCCATTTTGATTTTAATGGCTTACCAGCAAGGAATGAGGCCTCTCACGCCTGTCCATGTGCTAAAGCTTCTAAAAGCTGAGAAAACCCCTTCTTCTGCTCTTTCCATATTTGAATCTGCTACTCGAGAGCCAAATTATAAACATACACCTGCAATATTCAAGAAAATTATTGAGATACTTGGGCACTCGGGTTTTCTCTCTCCTCTTCCTCGTATCCTTGATCTTATAAAGCACGAAAGATGCAGGTGCTCAGAAGATTTGCCATTATCAGTCTTGAAAGTTTATGGAAAAGCTCGAATGCCTGACCTTGCCATGGATGTCTTCTTGAGGATGAATGAGATTTTTTGTTGCAGACCAGGTGTTCGATCTTTTAACACTTTGCTTAATGCTTTTGTTCAGACTGGGAATTGGGAAAGAGTGGAGTCTTTCTATAATTACTATCAAACAATGGGAATCCAGTCAAATTTGCAGACTTTTAATATTTTGATTAATGGGTTGTGCAAGAGGAAGCTTTTCGATAAGGCCAAAACTTTATTGGAGGAGATGCACAGCAAAGGGCTTGAACCTGATGGGTATAGTTACAGCGCTGTGATTAATGGGTACTGTAAAAATGGTGATGGTTCAGAGGGTTTGGCGGTATTTTATGAGATGGTGGAGAGAAATTGCAGGCCCGATGTTGTTTGTTATAACATTTTGATTGATGGGTTGTTCAAGAATGGAAACTTTAACAAGGCTATGGAGTTATGGGGTGATATGTTGGGTGAGAGAGGATGCTCTCCCAATGTTGTTACATATAATTCGATGCTCAATGGCTTGTTTAAGGCTGGGAAGTTCAGCGAAGGAGTCGAGGTCTGGCGTTTAATGGTTAAGGACAAATGTAGGCCTGATACTTTCACTTACAGTACCTTGATTCATGGGCTCTCTGAGCAAGGTGATGTGCATGGTGCTGCTAAGGTTTATTCAGCCATGGTTGAGAATAAGCTTTTGCCCGATATTGTTACTTACAATTGCCTCATCAATGGCTATGGTAAATTGGGAATGGTTGATGGGGCTTTAGAGATTAAGGCCTCCATGGTTAAGAATGGATGCCTTCCTAATATATCTACTTATAACATATTGATAGGATGCCTAATTAAGAATAATAGAGTGGATGAAGCAATGGAAGTTTGGGAAAAACTTTCCATGAATAATTGCCAGCCTGATTCAACCACTTGTGGGGTTTTGATCCATGGATTATGCCAGATTGGGTATGTAAATAAAGCTGTGCGGTTATTAGAAGAGATGGAAGCGAGAGAAACCAAAGTTCTTGATGTGTTTGCCTATTCTTCCATGGTAAGTAGTTTATGTGGTGAAGGGAGACTAGAAGAAGCAACCCATATTTTGTACAAGATGGCTCAAAATGGTTGTTCTCCAAATTGTCACACTTACAATTCTTTGATCAATGGTTTTTGCCGGTCCTTGAGGCTTGGAGATGCGAATAGGATATATAAGGAGATGGTTAATAGTGGCTGTCCTCCTACTATTGTCACATACAACACGCTGATAAATGGGTTCTGTAAAGCTGGAAAATTCAGTGAGGCATCTGAATTTCTTAAAGAGATGATAGGAAAAGGTTGGAAACCTGACATGGTCACCTATAGTTCATTAATGGATGGGCTTTTTGGCACTGGAAAGGTTAAAGAAGCTCTAAAATTGTGGAAACAAGTGTCATTGAATCGGGTTTGCAAGCCCGATGTTATGATGCACAATATTTTGATACATGGGCTCTGCAATGCCGGGAAATTAGAAGAGACGTTGCAGGTTCTTGTTCAGATGAGGCAAAAGAGCTGTAAGCCCAACCTAGTAACCTATAACACTCTGATGGATGGGTTTTACAAAGTGGGTGACTTTGAAAAGGCTACCAAGATTTGGAATGAGATATTAGAAGATGGGCTTTTGCCTGATATTATCTCTTATAATGCTGCTATCAATGGTCTTTGCACCTGGAACAAGATGCCTGAGGCCATGGATGCCCTTGAAGATGCCTTGAGGAAGGGGATTGTACCCTCTTCAATTACTTGGAATATACTTGTCAGGGCAGTAATTAAGCCCCTTTGAATGCACATATGTGTTTTTTTCTTTCACCGAGAGGTTTACTAGTGATCTCTCTTATCATATGATCGTGGAGAAGGAAGAATGTGACTCTTGGACTGCCTTGGAGAAGCAACCATGGTCATTGAGTTACATAAGCTGAGAAATTTATGCCACAGCTGTCAAGGCTGGATAGAAAGAAGGATGGAAATTCTAAGTGAACCATTTGTGCTTGTAAGTTGTTAAATTCCCACTTGAGTAAGCTATCTGTGTAGATGGTTTTGGATTTTTATGTATAGAATCATCGGGTGCGATGCTAGCTACTTTTTTTGTTTCCTTTCCCAGGTACCTTTAGAGGCTTAGCTATGTGAACAGAGGTTTGTTTGAGGTCTCCAAAGTTTGATTGCTATCCATGCAAAAGGATAGCAGGTATGAATAAATTTTCTAGCGTTCATGTACCATTGCTATGATATTCTGAATAGAATGTTTTATTCTCCTTGTGGGTAGCATGTTTTATTCTCCTTGTGGGGTAGTATTTGGATGGGCTGCATTCTTTATTTTTGTGATGCATTATGTCCTTATAAAGATAACTTATTAGGATGCCTTTCTCTTGGTTGTAACTACAATAAACATGTATTTGTGGATGACTATAATGTTGGTTCTGCTCGAACTAGAATAATGACATTGTTTTTCTATTTTTCTAACCCCTATAGTTAAATGTGAACGATGTAGTGTAGATTTTTATGCTTCTCTGTCTAAAGGAATAACCATTTCTTTCACTTATTTGGTTCTATCATTGACAGCATAGTCAATCTAGATCGGCCTCTTTTTTTTCCAACAAATATATATACTAAAAGGCAATAAACAGTGGGTGCAGTTTGTACAGAGCCGTTCCTTTTTAACGACAAATATATATACTAGAAGGCAATAAGCAAAGGGTGCAGTTTGTATAAAGCTGAGGCCCTAAACAATCAAAGTAAAGCGCACCTTCAAATAATGTCGAGAAATGTGGTTTCACTAATGGAAATCTTTGTGATAGCTTTAAAATATATTTTCATCTCTAATTATAAAAATTAAAGCTTCAAAAATAGTGTAGATCAAGCAGATCTATGAAAACTTGAAAATTAATGGTCCAAAAATGCATTACAAGATGCACTATTTCTAAAACTTGAAATCCATTTTTTCTCACTTCCATGCATGTTGAGGTCGAGATGATTAATTGAGGATATTTGGGCATCGAAACAACCTTTTCTATTGAAAATTTTGAGTTGTGCCCTACTTTGATTGTTGAAAGCCTTGCGCTTATATAAACTTTTTCTATAAACAAATATATATACTTCAGATTAAAAAAAACAAAAACAATTATATATACAAAACGAAAAAGATAAAAATAAAAACAGAGAGCTGTGCCACCTTTTCAATGCATGAGCGTTAAAATGACCAGATCAAACAATGACTGGGCAACCACATCCAAGCGTAAGTTATAACATGGAGCTTCACTACGTCCGCCAATTGACATCTTCCCTGACTAGTGCTGACAATTCTAGTTGAGTAACTACAGTCTGAAATATCATTGACGAATTTGATCAATTCTTCATTGACATGCATAATCCTTATTGATCACCAAAGTTGCATGAGCTGGTTCAGAATTCAGAGTCATTTGAGCCTCTGCCTCAAAGTTGGTTGACTGTTACTAGAAGGTAGAACTTGGTCTCATGATTCAGCTATGCAACTCTTGAGAAAATATTAGGCCTTGTTTCCCTATGTATATGTAGAATTTTTGTTGAGAATGTTGACTGTTATATATAATAGAGAAGAGTACAAGGAGGAGAGAGGGAGAGGGGCTATCCACAGTCGGATAGCAGAGTTACAGGGGGGAGAGAGAGAAGTGCTATCCACTACGGATAGCTAGAAAAAGCTAGTAGGAGCTAAAAACAGTGCGGGTACAATATGCAGGATAAGAGAGAAGCCTCTAGAATGGCTATTACAGAACTGGAACCCCACTTGGAGAGGTGTCAAATATCTTCACCGCGGGCTGCTGCTTTCGCCATGGCATCTGCGACATGGTTTACCTCCCTCTCCATTGGACGGTGAGTCCCCTGCATAGGTGTAAGATTTCATCAAAGATATAGTTTAAGACCGAAGGGATAGAGAAGGGATGTTTGGCCCAAGCAATGATGTTCTTTGAGTCGCCTTCTATGATAAAAGGCGAGTTTGAGAAGGGTTGAATCAATCTAATTCCCTCTAACAGCGAGGTAGCTTCTGCCTCCATTGAGTCCAAATGGCCTACTAACTTGGTGGTCGAAGCTACCGTGGATCCGGCGTGGTTCTTAGAACAGCTCCTATTCCTGATGTGCCTAAAGAGCATCCATCGAAGTTGAGCTTAAGATGGCACTGGGGTGGAGGTTGCCAGTGTGAAGCTCTAGGAATTTTCCTCGTGGAATAGTGCAGAAGAGTATTCCAGTTTTGGTGGAAGGCTGTAGCTGAGACACCTTGGGAAAGTTTGTGATTTGTGGCCCCGAAGACTACCCGAGCCTTGATTTTAGAGAAAACAAGAGATGGTGTTTCTAGTTCCCCCCCGAAAGATTCTGTTGTTTCGTTCTATCCAAAGAGCCCAGACAGTTGCCGCGATCATAGTTTTCCATAGAAAGATCCCAGCCTTGGGCCAGGGATATGGTTCGAAGGCTCTGAGTACTGAGGGTACCTATTTGGGTAGAACCCACTGCATGCTGAAGAGAGAAAGGATCTTCCCCCAAACTTCGAATGCAAACAGGCAGGAGAGGAACAAGTGGGAATTTGCCTCCTCCTCGTTGAGGCACAAAGAACGTCTGTTTGGGAGGGAGAACCCTCTTCGCTGCAGATGGTCAACAGTAAGAACTTTAGAATGAAGTGCAACCCACATGAAAAGTTTCAGTCTTGGAGGCGCCAGGGAGGTCCAAGCTTGGTTGACAAAAGAGGTGGGGTTTAAAGGAAAGTTAGGTGGTTGGGATATGAAAGAGTAGAGAGAGGATACTGAAAAGACCCCTGAGGCAGCAGGTGCCCAGATGATTTTGTCTCACCGTGGTGTAGAAAGAAATAAGAAGCCAAGGTATGGGCTAATTTTAAGAACGATGAGAACTCAAGGTCCTAAAGGTCTCTTCTGAAAAAAGGATTCCAGGACATTGAACTGTCCGCAAGATTCAACTCTTCTACTATGAAAGCATTTTGGTGATGTGCCAAGCAGAAGAGTTCCGGATACTGGTCTTTAAGAGGCTGATGACCTATCCAAGGATCCGACTAGAATCGAATCTTGTTCCCCCCTTTAGCTTGGAATCCGATCCCTCTGGAGAACGTGGTAAGATTTAGTGATAGACTTCCAGATCCCGGATGCCTGCCCTGGGATAAGATTTAAGCTCTGGTAGCCAAGGGGTATATGGGATGTGGTATTTAAACCTAAGTATGTCTACCCACAGATGACCCGTAGGGTCAACTGTCTCCATCACCACTTACCGAGAAGGGCAATATTTTGTTGCCTTAGGTTCTGATCCCCAGACCACCCAGCCTCTTTGGTAAACAAAGCTTATCCCAGGCCAAGAGATGGAATTTGTGATTACAAGCGTCCCCAGCCCAAAAGAATCTACGAATGAGCTTCTCGATTCTTTGTGCTACGGCTATAGGCATGCTGAAAAGGGACATCTGGTAAATGGGGATGTTTGCTAAAGTGGATTTGATAAGAGTAAGTCTGCCTGCTGGTGAAAGGAACCTCCCTTTCCATCCAGCGAATTTGTGGTCAACTTTGTCCAAGATGTTTGACCAAAGCTTCTTTGGTTTACCTACACAAAGGGGTTGTCCTAGGTAGGTAGAGCGAAGTTCATCGGCCTCGCAACCCCAACTATCTGAAAAACAATCAGGTATGTAGAATTTGTTGACGGGATTAAGAAACAATCAGTCATTTGCCAATCCGCTGCAAGTTCACCCAATCAGTATGGATGTTCTTGGATCTACTTAGAATATCATGGTACTGAGAATAAACTAGTCATGTCATTGAATAACTTTTATATGTTTTGCTCAGGTCCTGGGTAGGGACCCTTTTTACTTGTAATAACTCCCTTTTCTGGGAGCACTGCTTGTAACACGCGTAGTTTTCAATAATACAATGTTAACATTCTCAAAAAAGAAGAAGAAGATATGTTTGAAAACAACAATATATTTATATTTTTCTTGAGAAACTAACAAATTTGTCACTTATTGGACGATGCATAAGAAGGGCCAAGGAGAACATTTTCCTTTTTGAGTGGGAGGCCCTGATTTTTCCTTTTCTTATTTTCTAATGTTATTTATTTGTTTCTTTTAAATTGTTCAGGAACATATTACTGGAAAGTATACCCGAATCCAATAGGGTATCATATGGTACTTCAAAGTGGTCTTCTACCATTATTTCCTGGCAATTGACTGTCAAGATTAACGGTTTTTTGTTAGAATGTTAACTTTGTATTAAAGAAATGTAAAAGTACAAAATTGCAGCCTGAAAGTTTGGGAGCTATATGCAACAAAAAATAGGCTCCCCTCAAGGGAGCACTGTACAAAAATCCTAAGGGGTAGAAGTGGAAAGAAGAGGGGGCACTCCACTCGCAACAGGAAAGAGTTGGGGCTACAGAAAATTACTGTCACCTGACTAGTAGCACCTTGTGCAGTGAGGGAGTCTGCATGAGAGTTACATTCACGCCACACGTCTCCAAGGCACAAGGAGATCCAAACATGTGTGCTAGAGACAAGGGATATGTAGCAGAGCCAAATGCCCAGCATATTACATTTTTTGAGTCGCCTTCGATCATCAGGGTTTAAGACCAATTGCACTCGAAGAGTCTAAGGTCTTCAAGGAGAGCAAGGGCCTCAGCAGAGTGGGAATAGAAGTGACCAATAGGTTTGGAATATGAAGTGAGGATTGTGCCTTCCTGATTTCTAAAAAGACCACCAATACCAGGCGGGCTGGGGTTGCCTAGGGAGCAAACGACTTTTGGAGCACCATATCACATACTCCACATCGGATTAAGGTATGCCTTCACATTGGAATATTGTAAAGCCTGAAGGCTGCAATAATATATAGAAAATATGTTAAAGCACCTAGTCAAAAAGTCGTTTACGACGTTGGAAACAGCATCTGAATCACATACTTTGGCAATGATAGATAGATTGTCAAGACCCCATCTGATGCAAAAGCAAACTACAGGCTTGATGTATCAAGCCCCAAGAACAAGATCACACTTGGGGTTTATTTATCATGCCAAATTTTGGAAAACTTTCTATTTCCAGATTATATATAATATTCCGTTAAAATTATTTACATCTGCTTGAAATATCTAACATTCGGTCCTGTATCTCTCTCGTCTTCACTTCTAGAACATCTTACTGTATTCTTATCATATTTCTCTTTCTTATTAGCTTCTTTAGTATCTTACTCTCTTCTTTTTCCTCACTTCTTTGGTTCCTTAATATGATACTCTCATTTGTTCGGTCTGGCTTGGAGTATCAAACCTTCTTAGGATAATATACTTGGGACTTAATTGTATCTTACCCGATTTTGGGGAGAACCTTCAAAATCTCATAGTGTATATAACATAATTTATATTAGCATCGATATCTTACATTCTAATATTCTCAACTCTCATTTTGGCTTCCCTAATCTTCTCTCTCTGTTTCTTCTTCAATCTCTTCTGGCTTTATAGGTTCAGATGACATCGTCTGTTCATACAAGAACTGAGCGAGTAAGGCCAAGAGCACGGCCCCAAGGAAAGAAGCTTTTCTCCAATCCAATTTGGGAAAGGAGCTTACATAATCCACAACGGAAAGAGTGAGCAAACCAAGAAGTAATAAATAGATGTTTTTTCTGATACCCATTTGTGTGCTTTTACTCGTAACTTCTTTGAGTTTCTGAACTTCCTCTTTAGCTTTAGCTCTCTGAAATTCCTGTCTCTCAGGTGCAGCTTTTCCCAGGCTCTTGAAGAAGAGGCCGTCATTTCGATCCTTCTCCATCTGTTCTTCAAAGTCAGCCAATTCTCTCTCACTCCTCTCTATCTCTGCCTTGTTTGAGCCCATTGATTCTTCAAAGGCCCTCAAGTTCTGCATTATCTGGCCATGGCAGTTTGAGAGAAACTCAGTAAGTAATCTGAACTTTTTGAGTTTGAATTTGCCGACTAAACTTCAGCTAAACTCGATCTTAGAGAAATAAAGCTTTTTGATAAAAGAAAATTTCAATAATTGTTTTGAATATATGTATCTCTGTGAACCGTTGGCTCGGTGTTGGATTTGAAAAACTGAACTATACTTCTTTTGCTAAAACCTGAGGGTGTAACAAAAGGCATAGATGCTAATTGCTAGTCCGATGTCCAGCTTTTGTCAGAAATTTGTAAAATTTGGAATCTCTCTCTCTTTCTCATTCATTTGGACTCTCTCTCTCTCTCTCTCTCTCTCTCTCTCTCT